TCCCCCGGGAACTGAGCTCCTTGCCGAGGCCCCTGACGCCCCCCCTTGCTCCCTCTAAGAACCCCGACTCTAGGTCTTCAGCCGGTGTTGCTGCCCTCGGTGCATCGTGTCCAGGCCCCGCAGGCAGGGCGACAGCTGCTCCAAGTCACAGGGTTAAGGGTTGCCAGCAGCTATGAGCTCTCCCTTCATCTACATGGGGCTCCTCCCCGCCCCTGGCCCCAGAGCCCCCAAACCCTGCCATTTCTTGACTTTCAATGAGACCAAGGGCCCAGGAGCAGAGATGTCCGGACCGGAATCAGAGCTGCTGCCACCCCAGGCTGGGACACCATCCCCAGGCCTTGCCCGGCCCCAGCTCCCAGTGTGATGGGCGGGGGGGGTGGCCCAAGAGGGGTCACTGGTGAGCACTTAGTGTCCTATCATGTCAGGAGGCGTGGGGGTGGGGGAGGAGCTGAATGAACAGAGCAGCTTGTCCCCAAAAAGCCAGGGGCTGAGCCGCCTGGAAGCCCATGAGGGGGCGCGTGAGCTGGGCCCCAATGGCAGGAGGAGGGGCAGCAGCAGGACCCGTGTAGCCCGGAGGAGGGTTGGGCCCTGGGCCTGGGGCGGGGAGGCTGCCAGGAAGGAAGAGGGGGTGCCTCCAGCCAGCACAGGGCTCCAGGTAAGTGAGGAAGGAGGGCTGGGCTGCCTCACCCCCAAGAGGGGACTGGTCATTCATGGGCCAGTTGTGGGCCATGGGGCCTGGACGCAGTTTGGGGGCGACACCTGTCCCCATAGAAGGACTGCCCGCTGCTGCCCGCCGGTGGGGCAGGAATGAATTCATGGCTCAGGGTAGGGTGGGACCACCAGCTGCCCACACCACAGGCCAGGACGGGACAGCCGCGCTCGGCCACGGGGTTGGGCAGGGCTGGGCAGTCGGGAGCGGAGGGAACCCTGCCTGTGTCCCCTCTGCTGGGACTGTTCGGGGACCCCTGAAGGTCAGTCTAAGGCACAGCTTCTCCCACATGAGCCTGCTTTCCGTGGGGCACACCCTGCGGGAGCCGTGAACCCAATGGGAACAGAGCCCACAGTATGGGGGCGACCGGCCCTGAAAAGCCAGGGGACCCGTCAGTGTCCCCGTAAAGCCACCTCCTTCCGCAAGGCCGGGAGAGGAGGCTCTGGTTTGGGGGCTTTTGCCGGCAAGGGGATCTGGCTTCGGGTGGTGGTGCCCAGAGCCGTGCTGGGCCGCAAGGCACACCCCCGGCCGATCTCGAGCACGGCCCCTTCTGCCCCTCCCGGGGCGTCAGAGCTGTGAGCCACGTGGCTGGGGAGGGGGCTCCGTCTGCTTGATCGCCATGAACCAGCAATTGGAACTCGACACCCTGGTAACTTTTCTAGAAAAACCCATTGGACTTAAAACCTCAGAGCAGAAAACCCCCAAAGCAGGGGAGGGTAGCATGGAAGTTCCTTCCCCCCCAAACCCATCCAAACTCCCCAGGGGTCCCCGTCCCCAGGGGCCGTCTGCACCTTGGGCAGCTTGAGGCCAGAGCAGGGTGGTGGCCGCAGCGAGTGACAGCCCCGCTGGGCCGGGCTCCTGCCCCAAGTGCCAACAGCTCTGACCACCCACGGGTGGAGCAGGAGGGGCCTGAGCTCCGTGCAAAGAACCCCCAAAGCAGACACAGGCACTCTGCAGACATAGCTTTATTGGGCACTGAGAGCGCTGCCCGTCCCCTGCGGAGTGGCGGCCGCCGGCCACATCACTTCTGCCTAGATGGCTTTTGCTTCCTCCCCTTCCATCTTTTTTTCTTCAGGAAATGCAGGCAGGCTGAGCACAGGGTGGTCTTATGTTTGGTCTGGAATTTACAAGTTTCTCATTTTACTTTCCAGGGGAGGAGCTGGGTCAGGTCCTTCCTCAGAGGCTGCCTACCATCCCTGCCAGTTCTCGGGGCGTCAGAGGGGGCGGGGGCCCAGGCCAGTGGGGACGTGAGTGAAGCTGTGGGAGCCAAATCCTGCTCCACTCCTTTGAGCCCCGCCCGCTCCCCCTGGCAGCTCTGGGGACCACCAGCAGCACAGCCCCCGCCCTCTGCCACCTGGGCACCCACCTCGATGGTGTTCAGCTGCTCCACGCTGGAGGCCACCCTGAACTCGGGGGTGGTCTGACGGTATAGCCCGTCTGCAACACAGAAGCGGGGGGGAGGAGGGAGTCCTCTGAGCAGAGGGGCAACTGGCCAGCCCCAGGCCCACCAGACAGAGGCTGTGAGGGTAACAGGCGGGGCCCAGGGTTTCCCACACCCCACCTTGTCCCCAGGCTCAGGAGCTGGGTCAGAGGAGGGCCTTGCACGTACCCCCCCGCCCTCCCAGGCTCTGCAGCACGAAGCCAGTTACCCTGTGTGTCCTCCAGCTCGGGGCTTTCGATTTTGTCCATGAGGTCATTGGAGTTCCACTTGGTGATGTCCTTGGGGAAGGTTTCCTCTGAGTCGGACAGGTCCTCTGGGGAGGAGAGAGGGGGCTCAGCATGCTGTTGGGGAACAGGGACTGGGGGGCGGGGCACTGGGAGGCCTGTTCCCGCAGGTGGGGGGCCTGGGAGTGGTGGCTCCGGGTCGCCCATGTTTCTCTGGCCCGTGCTGCTCCGTGCCGGGTTCTGCTCTCCCCTTCCCTTAACAGACGGACCCACGGCCGCACGCCCATGGGGCTGCTGCCTGACCTTTGATTTATTTTTTTAAATATATTTTTATTGATTTCAGAGAGGAAGGGAGGAGAGAGATAGAAACATCAATGATGAGAGAGAATCATTGATCAGTTGCCTCCTGCAGGCCCCACACTGGGGATCTCGAGCCTGCAACCCAGGCATGTGCCCTTGACCGGAATCGAACCCAGGACCCTTCATATCCACTGAGCCAAACCGGCTAGGGCTGCCTGACCTTTTTAAAAAATTGTGGTAGGTGGGAGCAGACTGGGAGAGGTCAATGGGGGGGAAAGGAGACATATGTAATACTTTCAACAATAAAGAATTTAAAAACAATACAAAAAAACCCCCACAAAACAAAAATTGTAACATGCACATATGATAAAAGTTGCCATTTTAGCCGAAACCGGTTTGGCTTGGTGGATTGAGCATGGGCCTGCGGACTGAGCGTGGGCCTGCGGACTGAGGGGTCCCGGGTTCGATTCTGGTCAAGGGCATGTACCTGGGTTGCGGGCACATCCCCGGTGGGGAGTATGCAGGAGGCAGCTGATCGATGTTTCTCTCTCAACGATGTTTCTAACTATCTATCTCTCTCCCTTCCTCTCTGTAAAAAATCAATAAAATATATATTTTTTAAAAAGTTGCCATTTTAAAAGGAGCATTTAGTACATTCACAGTGCTGTGCAACCATCACCTCGATCTAGTTCCAGAACATTTTCTCTTCTTTCTTTTTTTTAAGGAGAGACCTTCTATTTAAATATTAATATGTTTTTATTAATTTCAGAGAGAGAGGACGGGAGAGGGATAAAGAGACAGAAACATTGATCTGCGGCCGCCTGCACGCCCCACACTGGGGATCCAGCCTGCAGTCAGGGCGTGTGCTCTGACCGGGAATCGGACCAGCGACCTCCTGGTTTGTAGTTGACACTCAACCGCTGAGCCACACCGGCCGGGCTCCAGAACACTTTCATCACCGAAAAGAAACCCTGTCCCCTTTAATAGTCATTCCCCCGTCCCCCCTCCTCCAGCCCCGGCCACACCACCCTGCTCTCTGGACTGGACGCGCCTGCTCTGGACAGTTCCTACAGACGGCCATAGAGCCCGTGGCCTTTAGAGTCTGGTCTTGCACTCAGCATCCGGCTTTCAAAGTTGGTGCGTTTTATGCCTGGACCCTGTGCGCCGTCTGGAAGGGCCACCCTTTGTTTCTCGGCCCATCAGCTGCCTTCCTGACCATTTCCCACGTCCACACAATACAGCTCAGCGAGAAGCGCAGCTGTGAGCGATTCCACCCGACTCCCCTCTCTGCCTTTCGGAGAGCTCCTGCCCGAGACCTACCCCCACCCCACGAGGGTCACGTGGGGACGGCTGCCCCCGGGCACTGCCGCTCTGGCATCTTCCGGCCTGACTGCCTCCTTCCTCTCTTTTCTGGCTTTTTCTAAAGTTTCTACAGGAGCTGGGTTCTCTCCTCACGTCAGGGACACAGCCAGGCCAGGCTCAGGGGTGAGACTAGCAAACACCCTCCCCCACCCTGGGGAGACCCCAGGGCAGAGGCAGGCCCCTCCCCCAAGGCCAAGCCAGGCACCTGCCTTTTGCCTGGACACCCCCCTCCCCCCCAGCTCTTCCCCTCCAGGCCAGTTAACTAAAATACCATAATTAGCCCGGCCAGTGTGGTTCAGTGGTTGAGCGTCACCCTATGAACCAGAAGGTCACATCCTGGGGCTGCAGGCTTGATCCCCAGTAGGGGGCGTGCAGGAGGCAGCAATCAATGGTTCTCATCATTGATGTTTCTCTCTCTCTCCCTCTCCCTTTCTCTCTGAAATCAATAAAAAATATTTTTTTAAAAAGAGGCCATAATTAGGTGGCTCCTCAGCCCGCGTCAAGCTGTGGAGGCGGCCGGACAAGGCTCTGGTCCTGCCTCTGCCCTGCTGTGTGTCTGGAGGCAAGTCCCTGTCCCTCTCTGAGCCTGTGTCCTGAGCCTGTCACCTGCGAACTGGAACCCCGCCTCCCACACCTGTCCGCAGGCCCCTCGTATCTCCTGGGGAGGAGGCGCCGGGGGCTGAAGCGAGTGAGGGTTTTGTGTCAGCTTCTCCCGGCTCGGGTGGCTGCATGCTCATGTGCTTATTTTAGAATTCGTGGGAAAATGGGCACTTCCCGTATTTTCTGCTTGTCTGCATTTTCTAAAGTTTTTACATCAGATGAAAAAAAAAAAAGATCATTGCAAAAAAAAAATCAGGAAATTATAAGAAGGTAGGCTTTTATGAAACTTCTTATGGAAACAAATTCGCACAAGGAAAAAAGCCTCCTTCTGATCCTAGGTCCACTTCTGGGGGGTGTGAGAGCATGGTCCCCCCCTGCCAGGCCGGGCACATCCTGACCTCCGGTTGGGGTGAGCCTGAGACCGCGGGTGACTTCACTCAGCCTCTCATCCTCGGTCCCATACTGCTCATCAGGACTGTGCATAGGTAAGTGCCACTCGGACCCACACACCCCAACTCTCTCAGACCAGACCCCCAGATCTCTCGTGGGAGGTGTCCCCCCAGAGCCACCCAGGAACCCGCCTACCGTGCGCATCGAAGAACTCATCCTCCGAGCTCTCGTCTGAGTCCCGGGCGATACTCTGCATCCTCCACTCCGAGATGCTGTGGCGGGAGGGGCTGGCTGGAAGGCAAAACCCCCGACTGACCGACCGACCGACCACCCAGCGGACGGGGCTGGGACAGAGGCAGGCGGGTGTGAGGTGCCGGAGCGAGGGCGGGAGGGCTCTGAGAAGAAGGGTGAGAGGAGGGGCCGGCGGCCCTGACTCCTCTTGGTGGAAGCTCCTGGGACTTTGAAAACCGCCCCCTCCCAGCCCACCAGCCGCAATGCAGCCACGTCCCCATCTGGGGGAGGACATGGCAGTGGGAGGGTATGGGGGTACGGCCGGGCGGACAGTCACGCCCTGGGTCCTCCCTGGGCCTCTGCCCTGGGCCGGCCCCAGTGCTGCTCCTTAAATTCTCTGGAGGCAGAGCTGCCAGGGCCGTGGCAGGAGGGGAGGACATAAGTGTGTCCACGTGTACAGTTCCACGGACCCGCTGCACAGGACAGACACGCCTGGCGTGGGAAGAGCCGCTCTGCAGGGGGGTCTCCTGACTTTATATGAGATGCCTTGTTTTTCAAAATCGCCACAGCATGCCCACAACAGGTCCCTTGAGAAAGGCCTTTCTCGGGTCTGAAGCCTTCTTCTCACCCCTCGGCCTGGCTCAGAATGTGGGTCTGGTCCCTCAGGCGCAGAGCTCCCCTCATTGTGCTGCGTGGGGCCCACCCAGGCCCCCTCTCTTCCTGGTCCCCTGGCTCCTCAGAGCTGCAGCCGCTGGGTCCCGGGAGAGGCTGGGAGGGGGTTCCCACATAAACAGCCTGTCTTGCCCGGGCTGTGGAGGTGAGTCTGGGGGAACCCTCTAGAGGGGTGTGGGGCGCCCTGGCCTTCTCCTACCAGCAGGCAATTGGTTCTAACTCCGGGCAGCTGTGGCCCACAAGGTCCAAAAGCAAGAGTCCCTTCCCAGAGCTGGCATTACCTGGCAGTGGCCTAGGGCTGCCTCGGGGGGCTGAGGGCTGCCTCGGGGGGCTGAGGGCAGGGACCCGCACCGGGGCTGGGGCGGCTCACCTCCCCGCTTGGATGACCGCGATGACTTGGAGGACGTGGACCACTGCTTCTTCAGGCCGCGGCCT